TATCTTTTACAAAAAGGATACTCTAGATGGAAAGCAGCATGGAGAATGCATTGGGCTTGAAGAAGGGAGACCAAGGAGGAGGCCTTCTAAACTGAGAAGGTGATGAAAAGCTGTGAGAAATGATAGAGCTTTGCAGCCAGTGAGTCTGGGTTCTAATCTTTCGCTCACTAATCCCAAAATGCTGGACAAAATACCTACATGCTCTGAAAATCAGTTCTTCGTCTGTAAAATCAATGTAATAAGTAATGCCTACTTTAGAGGATTTTTTTAGAAAATTCCATAAGATACTTAAGAAAAGTACTTGGCAATGTCTGAAATGGCATAGTTCATAACTAGTATCTAGTAGCAGGAATAGAAATTGATCCAAGGGAATGACAGTGGGTATAGGGAAAGGACAGGTTTGAAAGCCATTGAAACTTAAGAGTCCAACCATATGTGGTCCGAGATGGGAAATCAGCAGAGCCAGGGTGACAGGACTAGGGATTAATGACCAGGGAGAGAGAAAGGATGGGTTTATGTAAGAGGTAAAGTGTGAAAAGGAAAATGATGAATGAGACTTAAGTTTAATTTGAAGTATCTGTGAAACATGCAGATGAGACTTGGGGGAGTTGAGGGTATGAGACATCCCTGGGAGTTGGACCCAGGGGAAAACAAGATTTCTTAGATCAGATGCACAGATGAACAGGCCAAGGAGGCTAAAACATTTTAATTTACTTGCTTGGCATTCACAGATGTTCTTATTAGCCTGTATAGACTTCCAGCAGAAATACCAGGTTTTCGCATCTGACAAGTGGTGAAAAAGAAATGAAAATAAAAACAAAACAAAACCAAAAAAGCTTTTAAGAGGGAGGACCCAAGCTCAGAAACTAACCTAGCCCCAGGGCACTAGAGAACCTCTGTTCCAGCCCAGATCTCAGTGACCGTGGCAGCTGACTGCCCCATCCTCCCTGAATCAGCTACTATCTCTGAGAGCCTGAACTTGGGGTGCAAGCGGGAGGGGTCTCATGAGGTTTGTTTTTCCCAGTTGGGTGGTAGCAAGCACCAGTTTAAGATTTGGATCAGCTATACAGGAAAGATGTAGGAAATAATACCCACCCCTCAGGAGATGCTGGTAATAGGACAAGAAGGTCCCAATGCCGAATGGGGCTTCAGTCCTAGCGTGACAAGCAGATCACAAACCAGGCAGAAATGTGAAACATGTAAAATAAAGATGCTGTTCCATGGGTATGAGGAACCTAGGCCCTCACCTGGGACTCAAGGTTAGGACCAGTGAGCACTTCTACACACCAGCTTCCAGTGGGAATGGGGTTGCTGAAAGGAATGGCTGAGGAAAGTTCAGGAATTTGGGTGGTGTTCATGCTACAGTTTGAAAGTTAGTGTGTCATTTTCATATTTCTCTGTCTTGTCACTCACCTGGTCCTCAAAGACCCAATAGACTGACATTTCCTTGAAACTCCTAGCCCCACACTCTCCCATTGTCCAGATGTATCTTTTAGCTTAGAGTCCCAAGGTTCCCATTAGACCGGCACGCATGGGCACACTTGCAAGGTTACCTGCATTTCTGACATACCCCCCATTTCTGACTTTGGGGAGGTAGGCATGTGAGTGTGTAGTGATGGTTCAGCACAGGCTCTACGATCCCTGTGCACTTCATCTGCCCACTCTGCCCTCTCCACTCTCCACATCTCACACTTGCTTCTGTGCTCACCCAGCTCGTGATTAACAGCTTCACAGAAGTCACACTGTTCTTGCCAGCAACAGCAACAACTACATTTATTGAGTGATTACTGTATACCAGTATTATCCTACATGCCTAGGATAAAAATCTTATTTAGCCCTCAAACAACCCAGAAGGTAGTTACTATTATTCTGGTTTTATCAGGAAAACTAAAACTCATCAGAAATGAGTAATCTGACTGAGGTCATGCAGCTAGGGGCTGGTAGAGCTTGGATTCTAATTTAAGACTGACTCCAATATCCATGCTCTTGGCTATCATCCTATAAAGAGGCAGATGGTTCTGAGAAATCTATTCCTTATTCTTTGGAGCTCTAGTTTATGTGCATGTCATGGAAGAAGTAGAAAACTGACTAATCTCTATAAATAATTGCTTAAGGAAGTCCAGTGGTCTAGGCAAATGTCTAATCTCATTAACAGAACTAGAAGAATGTTTTCTTAGTAATCATCTAGTGAACAAAACTTCATACTTTATTTTTTCTAAGAAAAAATAAAACCTGCAAAACTTTTGTGTAGACCCTGCCCCCCTGTGTTGGTTTTCTTATCTAGGAAAAGCTAGAAATGTAATCTCTCGTGGATCATGAATAGGTAATAGAGGTGAAGTGGCAAGTACACCGCATTGTACATTCATTCTCAGAAATGCCGTGCTAGTCAATTTCATCCCAGAAAATACAGTCTAGATGGCACAGCCATCTAGATGCATGGTATAGCCTGTAGGGACAGCCATGGTGGCACAGCATTCATTGAACCATAGTTATGCAGTGCAGTATGCAGGTAACAATACCAGCACTGGTTGTCCAGCCTCAGCCACTGCTAACTGAAGTCACTTCCCACTCTGTCCCTTTTTTGTTTCCTGGAAAACTGGAGCCTGAATTAAGACATGAATACTAGGTTAAAAATTAATGCAGTAGTCTAAGAAGGAACTGTAAAGAAATTTCTTTTCCTAATCTAGCTATGTGAGTTAGAGAGAATGGAATAAACCACACTGACATTTGGGCAGCTGGAGGAAAGCAGTGGAACCTGGGAATTGATATTTTTTGTTAACTTCCAAAGAGAAATTATTTGCCTCTCTACTGACTGATCTATGCAATCCGACTGTAATCAAGTCTATCGCTGGTGAGTTGTGTAAAGGTTCAGGACATCCAGCGGCAAGGTGAAGGAGGAAGGTGAGGGAGCGTTGTATTTGAGAGCTGCCCAGTACCAGCAAGATCACAGTGTTCTGCTCTTTCTGCCCAGTGAGATAATGGCAGTTAACCCCATGAGTAAGGATGAGGAGCCTCATTTATAAGGGAGGATTACTGAGGGGGCTTCTGAAGGCTTCACTGCTGGTACATGGCTAGATGAGATTCAAAACCCTGTGTATTTGATATGCACTATTTTACTCTGTCATGTTATCTGTGAGTCATTTAACTAGTTTCCCCTACAAAGAAATTCCCTTAGTATCCATCCTTTCATTTATTCCAAAGATAGCTATTGAATGCTTGGCAATTTCAAAATCCTTGAAAATTTGCTAAATCTCAAATACACTATTGCACTCACTTCCCAATTCCACAAAATACAGAAACTTGATTCTCCTACTAGGAATTAGAATTAATTTTCCTAGTGCTTTCATTGAAGAGAGACACTGGCTTGGAAATCAGATGCAAGTACAAATACGGTCTCCTTCCCTTGTCCAGTGAGCCTGTGTGAAGAGATATTCATAAGTGTTTGATTGTACAAGTGAGTGTGCTTTCCAGGGTGTCAACTGTGAACTTGGGGAGACAATTCCCAGGAAGGAGATTGTTCTTGGATATCTCAAGTCCATTCTACAATTCTAGGGTGCAGCTCTCTGCCTCAAGCTACCTAAAGCTGACTTGGCAGACTCAGGATTCAATTCAGAACTGCTCTATCCTGTCTTTCTATTTATATTCCTTTTACTGCCTTTCATTACAATTCTCTTTCTTCTTCTAACCTCACATCAAGCTAGAAACTCATGACTTTCCCATTTAACTGAGGAAGTTATGTTCTTTTTGCTTAGAATTTCTAGATCTTACTGTTGAGTTCATAAAGGCTCTTTGCCTTTCAAACACTCCCCTGGTCTTTCATTCACTGAAATTTCCCTCTTTCTTGGACACCTGCCTCATGTTGGATCTTTTCATCACTTAAACTCCCCATTTGCTTTCTAGCCTTCCCCTCCCCCATTTTTGATTATCCTTCAAAGCTCTTGAACTTAGTCTACTACTTTTTATCTGAAATTCTCCATTCTCTCAAAGCCTTCTCTGCCCCTTCATCTCTGTCCCCTTTGCTTGGTCACCAGCTGGAGGGAAAGTCACTTCTTCCCAGAGTCACAAGTTCTGACTTCATTGTCCTTATTTAGCAAATATTTGTTGTACATGTATGGACTTCACAACTTAGGACAGCAAGATAAGAAGACACACTCCTGACCTGACAATTTTGATGAGGGTGACAGGCATGAAAAGAAATACTTGCAAGACTATTATGATAAATATTAAGGAGAATGCTGGGTATAGTGATGGCATAAAGGAGGAAGTGGTGAATGGATTAGTTGGTCAGAAGCTTTACAAAATGCCTTTGAACTGAATTTTAGAAGATGGAGAAGAGCTTCTCAGAGAAAGAAGGAAAAAATATTCCAGGACAAAGAAGATCAGGTACAAAGATCTAGAGGTGTGAAATAACATGTTCCACTTGGTGGTTGTCTGGTATTCTTGGAGGTTAGCCTTCAGATACAGGTGCTGCAAGAAGGAAAACAGAAAAGGTTCATGGAGCACTTCAGATGCCTTGCCAGGAACTTTGGGTTTTATCTTGAAGGCTATGGAGAATGAGTGAAGGGTTTTGAGAGGGGAGTCATCAGAGTCAGATTTTAAAAAAATCATCTGATCATCAGAGTCAGATTTAGAAAAATCATCTGAACTATATAGTAAGAAGAATGTATTGGATGTGAGCAGGCTGGTGGCAGGGAAACCAGACAAGAAGATCACTGTAAGATCACAAGCTAGAGCTGAAGAGGACAGCAGCAAAAGTTCTGCAAGTGGATTAAAGAGAAAGAAGACGTATCAAAGATGTTAACAGACCAAGATGACACAACTTAGTGACTGATTGGATATTGGGAATGAAGGCAGATTTCTGAATAGTCTGGTGGGCATTGATGCCATTGACTGTAATGGAGAAAATGGAGACTGACGTCTTAATGGGCTGAGACTGAAAGGCAGTGATATTCAGATGTAGGACACAGATGCCATCGGGACATGTCTGTTCTGTTTTGCAGGTGTGGCAGAAGGCCTTCAGGTCACAGTGCCCGACAAGAAGAGGGTGGCCATGCTGTTCCAGCCCACTGTGCTTCGCTGCCACTTCTCCACATCCTCTCATCAGCCCGCAGTCGTGCAGTGGAAGTTCAAATCCTACTGCCAGGACCGGATGGGGGAATCCTTGGGCATGTCTTCTCCTCGGGCCCAATCTCTCAGCAAAAGAAACCTGGAGTGGGACCCCTATTTGGACTGCTTGGACAGCAGGAGGACTGTTCGAGTAGTCGCTTCCAAACAAGGCTCGACCGTCACCCTGGGAGATTTCTACAGGGGCAGAGAGATCACCATTGTTCATGGTAATAATGCCTCTGTTTTGAACCTAGAGAGGAGGAAGGGGGTTATTTATATTCTTCCCAGACACTTGGGGATGGCAGCTTCTCACTCTTTGAACCCCTTAGGACTTTGATTTTACAGGAAATAAGAGCATCAAGAAACCTAGCATATCGCTTAAAGGGATGGGGTAGGGAGGAAGGGTGAAGGGGTTAGTACCCAGAGAAGATCAGAAGTGAACTTCGGAAATACTCACTCCCAAGTCTGAACTCTATTATGCTCAGGAGCTGGTTATCAGAACTGAATTGAAACAGAATCTAGTAAAGAACTTTTTAAATACCCACTACCTCTCACCAACCTAATGATCCTTCCCTAAACTCAGAACAGACTTCCCTGAGAAGTTTCTTTGGTGGGGGAGGGCTGTGCGCATAAAAGTTACAGATGCAGTCAGATGCCCTGGCCTAAGCCCCGGCCTAAGCCCTTGTCGCTTTGTGTCCCACCTTTTCTCCTGTTCCCTAAAGCTTTGGACTTTTCTAAGGAGAAGTCAGTCTCATAGGACTTACTTGAGACCTTGAACTTTGAGGAATCCCTGTGCAGTCAACGCATTTTCAGCACCGTAGAGTCATTCTGGAATGTATCTGGCCTGTGAAACCTGGGTGGAAACCACCTGCTACCTCTACCCTGAAACTGGACTGGCCCTAACCAACTTCTGTGGTGCTCTGATTCTCTCACTTTGAGGATGTTCTTTTTCCTTATTTATTCTGTCAGGCGTATATTTTAAAAAGCAAGCATCGTGTCGATTATCATCAAGGTAGAGAAATAAAACCCCTTCAGACACCCCAGTGTTACCCTCCCTCACCCACTCATCAGTGTTTTCTTTTGAGAGGACGTTTGGGGACTGGGTCTTCTTTGTGTGATAACAGATGCAGATCTTCAGATTGGGAAGCTCATGTGGGGTGACAGTGGGCTCTACTACTGCATTATCACCACCCCGGATGACCTGGAGGGGAAGAACGAGGACTCGGTGGAACTGCTGGTGCTAGGTAAGCGAACCCATGGGCCCCAGTCTCCTCTCAGACCTGTTCAGCCCTGGCCTGCTCCTCCCTGCAACTCCCTGCACCGGTCTGCAGGTTGCATGCACAGCCTTTGTCTTTGGTGCACACACAAATCTGTCCTCAAATGTGCCTTTCTGTGTGCAAGATATTTACTTGCTTCTTAGAGGCTCAGTCTTGCTTTCAAAATCTTTCTGAATGTTTCTTAGATTTTCTTAGCATATTTTTTTTCCTCCCTGCCACTTGCAGCTTTAACCCTAATTTCTCTTGCTCTTTTTCCTTACTTACCTTTTTATATGCTAATTGTTGAAGACAATGCCAGGTGGGTGGGAAGCTGGCTAGAGACTACTGAGAGATAATTCACTGTTGTGTGGGATCTCCTGAGAGACCAGGAATTTTTTTCCCATTCCATTACCTCCATTAAGACAGAAGGAAAGATTGCTATAAACTGGAGAGTTTAATAATAAAAGGTGCCCAGTGGAAAAAAAGCTATGGGAAAGGTATGCTCGTTTTTCATTTCTGGAAACCTAGAAGTGTGATTCACTTCCAAAGCAAATGTATCTAATCCTCACTAATATTAATTTCTTCATAAATGTAAACTCATTAATTTTTTTGGCTACTTTTCCTCTTTTGTGGACTGGGAGAATGTCAGTGGGAAATGACCTCCTTGGATGAAACTGAAAATTGGGCACATATAGCGTGTTCTAGAATGTTGGTTGAACAAGAGAATCAGAGTATAATATGCAAAAATAAAGAAACTACACTCATATTAGGATAAAAAGATAAGCCCTTGAAGCCATTTTTCAAAAGAAGTTATATTTTTTTGGTGCAAGTAAGAAACTAAGTAAGAACAATTTTAAAGGCATATGAGGCTGAGGTTAAATTTTACCATTTGTGGGGAAAACAGTACACAGAGTGAAAGAGCTTTTTGGGATTTTTAGTTTTACTCTATCACAACAGTGCGACTTTGGCAAATCAGCTCTCCTACTGTCTTAATTTTATAGTTTGCAAAATGGATTAAGATAATAATTATTTGTTAATAATAAACCCTTATTAGAAGATTGACTTCTAATTTGACTTAATTCAAATGCATATTCCTTGAGCTGAGAATATCAAGCAAAACTGCCCGTGATTTACAGAAGAACGGGAAAATGATGGATACCGAAAAGGGAAATGAAATAAAATGTGTATGTTAACATTGTAAAAGAAGACAGGTGGCTCAGACTTGAGATCTGCTCAGTCAACTCTATTAATTAGAAGGAAATAAAAAGATACATTCCTGCCTCATCTCACAGCTCTAAGGGCCAAGTCTGAAGAACCAAGTGATGCAATGAGCATGCAACTAGCAAATTGCAAGCAGTTATTTGGCCAATGCAGCTGCTTGTAGGGAAGTGAGGGCCTGTGTAGGCAAAAGAGACCAGGTGAAAAACCATTTTCAGGAGCTGGTCCAATTCTGCAAATGTGAGGAAATGAATAGAGTGAAAGTCTTGTTTCTCCATGATGTGCCAAAGTGCCTGAAGTGTACTCCTGTGGATCAAAACACACAGAGAAGCTGTGTGAAGATGCAGGTGTCAGAACTAAAGGATCAGGGTAAAGAGAGGTGAGGGATAGGAAGGCTCAAATAGCAATAGAAATTTTGAAATACCACCACACTTTTAAAGATACTAATTGTTTGGTTATTATATCCTGGAAGCCTATATGTTAGGTATTCTTTTCATTGAAGGAGAGCAAACTGATTTTCAAGGTGAACCTCAAGGAGACAGGCCGCAGTGGGAAGGCAGAGCTGGGCCCACGTTTTTTAATCACAGCCACCATGAACCACTGGTTCAGTCATTAAATTTTACACAAAGCATGGTTGGAATTGGGAGGATTTCTAGTGACAAAAGTTTAGAAAATGTGAAGGGCATATGGAAAGAGAAAGTCTCAGATACCAAAAGTGAAATTGTATAGAAGAGGGATCAGAATCTGACTCTGTGTGTGTAGTGTGGTAAAACTAAAAATAGCAGTGGAAGTTATAAGGGAAGGGAGTTCATCTCACTATAAAGCAAGAACTGTTGATCAAAAGATGGAATAAGCCTTCCCAGGAGTAGAGATTTGTATGTCCTAAAAAGGATGGAAAATTCATTATGAATTACTGCACCGAGATTCATGCATAGGAAATGTGTTTATTTCTGAGCTATATTTCAATTCTAAAATTCCTAGATTAAAAGAAAGATAACTACCTTGTAAAACACAAGAAAGGCCCTCCCTGGTGGTGCAGTCGGTTAAAGCACAGCACTGAGAAGCTAAAGCCACTTCCACATGAGTTCGATTCCCGCCTGCCCCGGAGGAAACCACATGGTGTGGCAGACCTCTCCTGACCCACCCGCTGCTCCCCTCAGCAGTGTACTTCGTCGATCTGCCTGTTCTATTCCCCACTCTGTCTCTGGTGAAGCCTCTGCCACCCCTGCACCTCTGGCCTGTACCCCAGTTCTGTATGTATAAATAAATAAATCTTTAAAAAAAAAACACACAAGAAAGGTAAAAAAGGCAAAAATGAAGAAATGACCTCCCAGGAATTCAATCCTCATGACACAACAGAAAAGGGTCCCAGATTAGTTAAGTTATAAGAGCATAAGCGTGATGCCAGAGTGAGCAAATGATGGTCTTTCTCAATAGGTCAGGGCTAAACGAACTGATTATCACCAGAGTGGAAGAAACCATTGATGGGGCTTAGAAGTGTCAAACTTTAGCTGTTCGTGGAGAAAACTCATCAGAAAAATGGTTGTAATTTCAAATGATCACTTGGTAAGGAAAGATGAGTTAGAGGGATAAATTGGAGAGGAAGTTAAGAAGAATTTCATTTTCTCATTGTACTCACCCCGGTGACAATAGAAAACTTGATGGAGCAAGATTGTGAAGTGTTAGCCTAAGAAATTTGGGCTTCATCCTGAAGTCTCTGGGAAGCCAATGAAGAAAGCTCAAAAAAGGGAGGAGTAAAAAGTGAGGATTCAGGGCAGAACAATAATTAGCAGCAAGGCAGACATTATTTCAGAGGGGAGTGGTGGAACAGCAGGGTCACTTCTGGGGCTACTGCTTTTGGGGCTACAGCATGATGGGAGGGAGTGAAGTCCTGAACCAGACCAGTGAGTGGAGTGGAGACAGGATGGCAACATTTCTGATGTGGGAGTGATGGAGCTTGGTGATGGATGTATAAAGGAAATGGGAGCACATTTCTAGCCATCTGGGGGAGTCAACTATTCCATCAATAGTTGACAGGGGTAGGGGACAGGAAACAAGTTCAGTTTTTCATGTTATGAATGTGAGGTGCTTGGAGGAGATGTCTAGGTGAACTCCAAGGAATCAGGGTTAGAGATAATAGATTTGAAAAGTTAGCTGTTCAGTAGGAAAGCTGAGTCACCCATGGAAGTTATATCAAATGAAGAGGGCCAAGGACAGACTCTCAGGCTGGTGTTCTAGTGTGACTTCATTGAGTGCCCACTGTCACTGCATATGTGCTTATCTTGACTTCTCCTCCCACACTAAGCATTCTCAATAGCAGTGGCCTGCATTCCCCAGAGGCAAACGCCAACTCTCATTCATGTTTATATATGCAATGCCTAGTAGTAGCTAGAATATGGACATTTGAGTGAAATTTTTAAATGATAAGTGAGCAGAATCTGTAACAAATACTTTATGATTTAAATTTTGTCAGTGCTGAATAAGTATTTGATTTACAGAGTTTTGATACAATAAATGTTACAGTTTCAACTGAGATAGCATGGCTTACATCTCATTGGTCAGAATTCTTAATCTTGTTATTTTACTATTTCTGGTGATAGACCCTGCAGGGACTATGCCTGAAAGCAACAGAGATAGACTCTGGCTAACATAAATAGGAAAAAAAATCATTAGAAGGATATAAAAATTGAAAGGAAGACTGGAAAATCAATTGCTAGGAAGGGGTAATACATTAGGGTAGTATTTGTTAGCGTCTGTAAAAGCAATCCCCAAAGCTCAGTGCCTTGCCACACAGAAGTTTATGCACTAGTCATTGCCAGCCGTGGAATAGGAGTCTCACCTGGGTTGTCCCTTTCCAAGTTTGCTATGGGGTGTAGGCTTCTCCACAGTTTGACTTTGCTGTATTGGAGACCTTTGCCCCCAGCTGTACAGAGAGAGTAAGGAAGGTGATGTGGAACACTGGAGGGGCCTGGTCAGGCAGTGACATGGAATACAACTGCTGTTATTTTTTATATGGCCAGGAAGAAAGTGAAAAAGGTTTGGTGAACACAGCACAATCCCTGCCCTACCAGAGGTGCTCTGGGAGCTATTATAAGAATTAATGACTTTTTTTTTTTTGGTTAAAAAAAATCCTTCCATATATTTATTTATTGCACCTCCTACATTTTGCTGATTAGTGGACATTTGGTCTGTTTAGAGACTTAGTCCACAGCAAAAGTTCTTTGATATTAATGAATGATATCTGTCTTTATGGCTCTATGGACAGAAAAAAATCAACTGTTTGTTGTTGCTGGTTTTTTCCCCCCAACTGTTGTTTTTCCTGTTATTGTACTTCCAGCTCAGGAGAAGAATCCATTTGAAACAGATACCCTACCTCCCCCTCCCCCAGACACACAATTACACACACTTAGCCTTGAGAGACCAGGGATTCTTGGTGGCTAGTCTTTCAAGATATAGAGGATTAATTACCCAAAGGGAATTGGCACTTGTACAAAAAAGACATATGGATCTGAGATGGTCAAAGAGCAATAAATGCCCACCATTAGTGTTACACTATATGACTACATCTACCACTCATCAATATACACCTATAATAATTTGTAGCTTACAAACTTATACATAGTTACCTGTTAAGGTAGAAGGGATGATATTATTTTCCTACTGAGCAAATTATGTTAGGGTTTTCTTTCCCAGTGAAAAAATTATATCAAGGATCAAACACAAGTGTATTGATTCCTACCTTCATCTCTTTCATTGACACCACCTGTTTG